AGATTAGGTAAATAGGTAGGTAGGTAATTTTGCGAAGACTTTTTAGTACATAATCTTAATTATTTTTGATGAGTTCTTTATGAGATACAGGAGTCTAGAAGAACCGCCACAATAGTAGGCTTTTGCTTCAAATTATCTAACTAGAAAGTTGACGTTTTCCGCGAATTAGGGTGGTTTCGCTAGTAAGTCGGCCCCCATTAGTACCTAGTCGGCCGCTTTAGTCTTCTCTCTGTATGTAACGTGTGGAGGGTGGGTTACCCCCACGGCACTTAGGCCTAATTAGGCCCATTGTGCATCCTCCTAAGATGATAGGCACCTTCTAGCTCGTGAGCCAGCCTACAGATTTAATCTTTTTTTAATATAATTTTAGTTTTCCGCCAATTTAAAACAGGTTTCTTTTTTACCAGTAAACTTTCATCTTACTCTGACCTAAAAATCAAAACACTCCATCTTGCGTCAAGTTTTAGTATTAACAATTCTCGCCTAAAAAGTACCTGTTTACAATTTGGGCTCGTGTAGCAGTTATTGAAGGTAGTGAAAGATGCAGGTGTATATGTGAGACAAGTGAATTTAATCAAATTGTGTCTAGAAGATGTTTTATGACTTTAAAATAACTTATTTTTTATGTAAAAATCTGATGTGTCCAACACATGACTTTCCTATCTAGTTATTACAGACTTTTTCCGTTTATTGTGTACAACCTATTGCAGCATCTCTATAAATGTTTAGAGGATAAACTAAATATATACATTGTCCACATACATCTACCGCGAAACATTTTTCTATAGATATTCATTGAAAATGAAAATACTGAAAAATTTAAATTTAGCACTTTTCCTACAATTTTTCCATTACGGTCCATTTAAAAAAAATCATGTATGAACAAATATTATAGAGATCGATATCGCAAACAACTTTTATTTCAACAATTTTCATAAAAATCAGAATTTTGCACATTTTGTCAAATTTCTCGAATACGGACCATTTCAGGAAATTTTTACATAAGGCAAAAATTATAGATAATAATATTAGAAGTAACTTTTATTTGAACAATTTTCTTCTCCAAACATAAATAACAGATATATTCCATAAAATATATAAACGGCCTCCCATAAAGTACCCCCCCAGATGTTCCGACTTTGTCCAAAATCTAATCATTTCACGTCAGGCCGAAATAAAACTTAAGTTTAAAATTTATTGATTTTTTCTTTATCCGTTTTTGAGTTTTCTTCAAATTTCGAAATTTACACATTTTCTCAAATATCTCGAATACGGTCCATTTTAGAGAAATTATCTATGGGACAAAAATTATAGAGAATTATATTACAAACAACTTTTGTTTGAACAATTTAAAAAAAATATTTTTTTACATTTTGTCAAATTTCTCGAATACGGACCATTTTAGGAAAATTTTGTAAATAACAAAAATTATAGATAATAAAATAAGAAGTAACTTTTATTTAAAAAATGTTCTTCCCCAAACGTAAATAACAGATATATTCCATAAAATATAAAAATGACCACCTATAAAGTACCCCCCCAGATGTTCCGACTCTGCCCAAAATCTAATCAGCTCATTAGACGCTGGAATAAAGCTTAAGTTTGAAATTTGGTGTTTTTCCGTGTATCGGTTCATGAGTTATGCGTTATACACACACACACACACACACACACACACACACACACACACACACACACGTGGTGCGTGCGTGCGTGTGTGCGTGTGTGCGTGGGTGCGTGCGTGTGTGTGTGCGTGTGTGTGTGCGTGTGCGTGTGTGTGTGCGTGTGTGTGTGTGTGTGTGTGTGTGTGTGTGTGTGTGTGTGTGTGTGTGTGTGTGTGTGTGTGTGTGTGTGTGTCTGTCTGTGTGTGTGTGTGTGTGTGTGTGTGTGTGTCTGTGTGTGTGTGTGTGTGTGTGTGTGTGTGTGTGTGTGTGTGTGTGTGTGTGTGTGTGTGTGTGTGTGTGTGTGTGTGTGTGTGTGTGTGTGTGTGTGTGTGTGTGTGTGTGTGTGTCTGTGTGTGTGTGTGTGTGTGTCTGTATAACGCATAACTCATGAACCGATACACGGAAAAACACCAAATTTCAAACTTAAGCTTTGTTCCAGCGTCTAATGAGTTGATTAGATTTTGGGCAGAGTCGGAACATCTGGGGGGGTACTTTATAGGTGGTCATTTTTATATTTCATGGAATATATCTGTTATTTACGTTTGGAGAAGAAAATTTTTTAAATAAAAGTTACTTTTAATATAATTATCTATAATTTTTGTTTTATGCAAAATTTTCCTAAAATGGTCCGTATTCGAGAAATTTGACAAAATGTAAAAAAAATAATTTTTTATAAAAATTGTTCAAATAAAAGTTGTTTGTAATATAATTCTCTATAATTTTTATTTTATACATAATTTCTCTAAAATGGACCGTATTCGAGATATTTGAGAAAATGTGTAAATTTCGAATTTTGAAGAAAACTCAAAAACGGATAAAGAAAAAAACATTAAATTTTAAACTTAAGGTTTATTTCGGCCTGACGTGAAATGATTAGATTTTAGACATAGTCGGAACATCTGGGGGGGTACTTTATGGAAGGCCACTTTTATATTTTATGGAATATATCTGTTATTAATGTTTGGAGAAAAAAATTGTTCAAATAAAAGTTACTTCTAATATTATTATCTATAATTTTTGTTTTATGTAAAAATTTCCTGAAATGGTCCGTATTCGAGAAATTTGACAAAATGTGCAAAATTCTGAATTTTATGAAAGTTTTTGAAATAAAAGTTGTTTGCGATATCGATCTCTATAATTTTTGTTTATACATGATTTTTCTAAAATGGACCGTAATGAAAAAATTGTAGGAAATTTTAATTTTTCAGTATTTTCGTTTTCCATGAATATCTATAGAAGAATGTTTCGAGGTAGATGTATGT